AGTTTGTAATAGCTAAAACTTGGAAACAGCCCATCAGTTGGAAACTGGATAAAGAAAATGTGGTTTTTCTATAAAATCGAATACTACTCAGCCATAAAGAATGAGAAAGTAGATTCATTCATAGGTAAATGGGTACATTTTGAGGATATACTCCTAAGTGAAATAAATAAGTCACACATGTGTAAATACCGAATAGTTTCTCTGGTGTGAAAAACTAAAATAGTACCCAAGATCCTAACAGGTTAATTAGCAATGTGAAACAGGAAGAAAAGGACTAAAGATGTAGGGACAGTGAGACGGGTAGGGGAAGGGGAATAAGGGGAGGGAAAAAATATGAGAAAATGTAAAAATGGATTTAAAGTCTTTGTAGGTGGGGAGGGGAAAAGGGGGTGAAGGGAGGGTGGGGAAAAGGGGAAAAATGAGAACCAAGGCCTTTCATATAAAGGTACAAGATCCCAGCAATGAATGTAACTATACTGTCTACCTAGAATGTACCAATAAATTCAATTAAAAACAAAGAATTCTTAAATTCTACATCTAAAAAGGACTTTAGATAGCATTTAGTTCAACTCCATCATTGCACAGAGACCAGAATAGTGATAAAAGTAGTAGCTTCCATTTGCACAGTATTATTTCAAACATTTTTTTAAAATTTCAAACATTTTTACATACATAACCTCATTTTGATTTTGATTCTCTTCGAGTGAGAGTCCCAGGGTGACAGGTGTTCAAGGCAGATGGCTGCAGGGCCACCTGAGATGTCAACTGGGCAGTGTCACATTTTGTAGTTGAGATAATAGGGACCCTGTGGCCTGCCCACCAACTGTATAGTGGCAGAGCTCTGCTCTCATCCAAGTTTTTAATGACATAAAAAGTAACATTTAACTATGAATAAAAATATGAAAAAACTAATATGCTGTTGAATATTTCTTGTTACACACACACACACACACAACTTACCTGTAGCCTCTACAACTGTTACAGCAATATAAAGGTACTTGTCATTTAAATCTTCTAGACTGTTATATGACAGCTCTTTAATTGCCGTTTCAGAATCAAATGTGACTTGAGCAATTCCATTTATCAGCTTTTTAAAAGGGAAAATGGAAGAGTTACTTTAGAAAAGAATATAGAAGGAAAAAAAGACACACAACTAACAATATCCACTCTGACTAGCCTCCAAATTGAGGGCAAATGTCAGGGGCCTGGTTTAGCGTCACCAGTGAAGGGGCTGACAAGCCCACAGCGAAACCCAGGGTGTGGTTTTCTACCTTATGTATACAGAATTAGAGATGTAAGAGTCTGGAGCACCACGGGGTCTAGCAGCTCTCTGGTACCTACTGACAAAGAGGCCTCGTCCAATTCCCCATGGATCGCTCACCTTTGTTGAACTCTCATGCTACTTCTGACCTCAACTAAGAGTTTATTGGAGTTTATATTTAATTTGTGCTTCACTGTTTACAAATTAAAACACCAATTTGATTTACAGGAAGCTAAGGGATGTCATGCTAAGTAATCTCATATAATTAAATTATTAAAAATAGATTTTTGTCTTATTGTCACTCTAAAATTGTTGCACTTAAGGTCAGGCTTTTTTCCCCCTGATTTAGCTTATTCAGTTATTTTTGTTGATTTTTTTACATTTTTGGTCCCGGGGATTGAACCCAGAGCCTCACACACACACACCACACACGCACCCTACCACTGAACTATACACCCCCAGTGCTGATCTAGCTTTAAATCTCAGGGTCTGGAGTAGAAGCTTGCATTTTAAAAAGACCTTTAACTTACATCATCAGTAAATATGGCTGTCTTTTTAAACAGCAGAGAATAAATAAATGGATGACACCAAATAAAGGAATATGCACAAGTGAGCAGAAATGTCATGAATCCACATCATCGATGGTATAACACAGATAATGGAGGAGGGGACCCGGGCTGTGATCTCAGTTACAGCAACCGCTTGCCTTTAACCACGGACGACTGACTTTGCAAATGCTTATGGAACATCTATCTACTCTTAGTCAGGAAATACACTTCCTGTGGATGTATAATTAATACGATTTACAATGGGAAAGAGTTTAAGGTCAAAATGATAAAAAAACAAGCAATTCCAATAAAGAAGTGTTGCTCACTTCTTGCATTCCTGCCGTGTTGAACAGAGTAATTCTGTGTTGTATGCTAGGGGGTGGTCTGTGTACAGTAACAGTTTAGCCACAACCCTGCCTCTACTCATTGAACCCTAGTAGCATCTTCTTCCCCATTTGCATCATGCACAGAATTACCCTGGACATTGCCAAACGTCCCTCTGGGAGTACCCATCACCCCCGGTTGATGACCACTGCAAGAAAACGGGAAACACGCACTAATAAAGAGCATCTTGAGGCCTATGGGACGTATAGCGGGGGGAGCTATCCTAGTTCAGAGGATCGGGAAGGTGTCCCAGAGAAAAGGCGTCAACAGGGGAATTTAAAGCCTGAGAAGGAATTAACCAGGCAGAGAAGAGGCAGGAGGGGACAGAGGGGAAGAGCAAAGACCCGGAGTAAGACAAGCTAAGGTGAGTTTGAGAACTTGGAGTGAAAAATGAGTACAAAAGGTGTGATGAGAGGAAATAGCATGAATAAGTTGGCCAGGGAGACTATTGTCAAAGAAAATGGCCTTTATCCTAAGGGATCTAGACATGGAAAGCCAGTGGAAGATTTTAACCTTCAACTTCACATTTTCATGGTGTGAAGGATTGAATTAGAGGGTTTGAGGTCACTTCACATCCCCCCATCATCCTTGGGGCTTAACATCTTACCATTTTGTTTCGCATTGCTTTGTGCATCATTTCTTTTTGATCATCTTTTATATCTTCTCTTATTCCAAAAAAGACATAAACTTCAGCATCGTTGACCACTTTATTGTAAAAATATCTGTCAAACAATACCATCGCATCATTTTGCCGACATGGGTGCGATCATAAGATTCAGATAAAATATGACAATTTGAATTTACTTAAGGTACATTGTATACTCCAGCCACTGTTACATTTCCTTCTCGTAAAGCCACAATAAGAAAGTTAGAGTACGGATTTGTATTAGTGTGTGGGAGATGAAATCTTGTGGAGATCAAAAGACACAGCTCAGGGCTGGGGATTTAGCTCAGCGGTTCGGTGGCCTGCCTTGCAAGCCCAAGGACCCGAGTTCAATCCCCGGTACCAAAAAAAAAAAAAAAAAAAAAAAAAAAAA